CGCGCGCCCTTCACCTGCCAGGTGAGTCGGGCCGGGCTGAGCGCGAGGGCCGGGTGAGTGGGTTCAGCGCCTGCACCGAGCCTTCCTTGTGTATGCAGGAGCTGCCAGTCTATTCCGCGGTGATTCGAGCGTTCGGGGCGACGCCAGGTTGTAGGGGATGCGTGGGGCCCGGGGCCCATAGCAGCAGATGGACGAGAAGGAACAGTCTTGAGTACCGCCTGTCCTGGGGTCCTTTCGGGTCAGAAACGCGGCTCTCACCCGGGGAACCCTAAGGCCATCTCCGTTTGGCAGAGGGCCTTCGGGTCCGGTCGGGTTTGGATCCCGCGTCCAAGCTCGTCCTCCCCGGGCCGCGTTGTCTGCTTAGAAGTAGCCCAGAGTTTGTGAGTGTAGCCAGGCAGGCAGAGCACAGGGACGGGACTTCGGCCCAGCTGGCCTCACAGATTAGTAGGCGCAGTAGAGCCGCTCCGGGTCCTCCCTGTGGATCGAGGAAATCCAGCGGAACGGACGGCTCATAGAAATTATTCAGACCCTGAAACGCCCACGGGAGACAGAGCAACACCGTGCAGACCAGGCCCCGGCTGGAGCTGGGTGCCGAGCACGCCCGACCTCAGTTCCCTGAGGTCCCCGTGCTGTTGACAGAAGATCGCGAGAGGCCCAAGGGAAGAGACCCAGCCCGGCCGACCCGAAAGAGCCTATCTGGGCTCGGAAACGACCAGTCCGGGAACGGGAGCCCCGCGAGGGCAGTGGCCTTTCAAGCACCGGCCCATAAGGAGGCCTGAATTCGCGCAGGCCGTGGTACCCCCAGAGTCCCGGCGGTCTCCTGCCAGTTCCTCTGAAATCCCGATTTCTTCCAGGGGCTTTGAGGCCGGGGAGCGCGCGCCGGGGTCCGACGGGGGAGGAGGCGCAACGGGGAGCGGGGAGGAGACGGAAACGCTGGCTTTGCTTCGGGAAGGAAAGGGAACGAATAAAGGGGAACGAAGCTGAGCGCAGGGTCTGGGCCTCACTGGTCCTTCTGCTCCCTCCTGCTTTCCCCACCCGCAGACCCCGCGCCCGGCCGGCAGCCCGCGCCGCGCCCGCACGTGCACAAGCAGGCAGAGAAGACGACGCGCGTGCGGACCGTTCTGAACGAGAAGCAGCTGCACACGCTGCGGACCTGCTACGCCGCCAACCCGCGGCCCGACGCGCTCATGAAGGAGCAGCTGGTGGAGATGACCGGGCTGAGTCCGCGGGTCATCCGCGTCTGGTTCCAGAACAAGCGCTGCAAGGACAAGAAGAAGTCGATCCTCATGAAGCAGCTGCAGCAGCAGCAGCACAGCGACAAGACGGTGAGAGGCGGTCCGGGCATCCGCACCCCCACCTCCACCCCGGAGGTCGGGCTCTGCACTCCCAAGGCGATGTCAGGGCCCAAGGAGCAAGGCTACCCCCGTGCCCCAGGTACCCTAAAAACGTGGGTAGAGACGCTGGGCGGCCCAGGCTCAGGAGCCCAGTGGCTGGAGTCAGGCTGTATCTCCGCGTGGTTCAGAGCGAATGCTTGGCCTCGCGCTGCCTGGAGGCCTCGCCACCCTTCTTTCGGGCTGTGCCCCTGCAGGTTTGGGGACCCTGGCAGGGCAGGCGGCCTTTTCGTCTCCTCTTGCACAGTCCAAGTCGCGCCTAGGGTTGGGGTCCCGCCCTCCAGGGGCAGAAGAGGACTCACGGAGCCCTCTCCCGCAGAGCCTCCAGGGCCTGACCGGGACACCGCTAGTAGCCGGCAGCCCCATCCGACACGACAGCGCAGTGCAGGGCAGCGCCGTGGAGGTGCAGACGTTTCAGCCTCCCTGGAAGGCTCTCAGCGAGTTCGCGCTGCAGAGTGACCTCGACCAGCCGGCTTTCCAGCAGCTGGTGAGGATCTGGGTGGGGACTCAGCCTCTGAGGCCCCGGGAGGAGGAAGGGGCTCGCGGTGGGGGAGGTGCTGGGT